ATTGACGAGCCCGTATTTTACCAGTTGATAGAGAGATGGTATAGCGTACCGTTCAACGTCCTATCGACGGCAGGTCTGCAAGCTTTGGATCCAATCCTAAGAGCCTTTCCGGCTCTCATATTCCAAATGCTAGCCTCTTCCTTGCTGTATCTTCCCGAGGGTATGGAAGAAACATTCGAGGCGTTAAAATATACCAGCAACATGACGTTTGACGATTTAGCATTTGACTATAGTGAGTCGGGTATATCTATCTTGGCACTCTTAGGCAAGCGTCAAATGTCTATCATGACGGTATTAGCCGGCTGGGTAAGGGCAGCCTTCCTTAAGTATACCGGCATGGTCACTGAAGCTGTGAGTTCTTAATTTCATGCCAAGTCATATTGCCATTCTAATGTCTTCATAGTGGCATCAAGTAGGGACCTGTATTCGAGATGCGCAAGAAATTGGCCTGCATCGAGATCAGATGGATCCTCAACCAAAGCCAGATGACACCACGGAAGAGGCATTGCAAAAGATGTGGGATGCACAAAGTCGCCGGAGGGTCTGGATGACTTTACTCGGCTGGGATTTACATACCGGCGCCGTACTTGGTAGACCTACCAGCGTGGATTACCGCCTTATGAATCGAAGCCTTCCTATCGACTCGATTATTCCCAAGGATACGAGAAAGTCACCTATAATACTGCGTGGTGAGAATGATCCGCCCACGCCTTTGACACGAGCGATATGGTCATGGGAGGTCATGCGACCACTACGGGATATTCTAGACCTAGAGAAGGAAGGGCCATTTCCAAAGGATTTTTCCAGGGTCGAAAAGATCCACCAAGAGTTGCTAGAACTTTATACCCGTACCCCACCACCCTTCCGCATGGAGAATCCGGACACTCGGTTCGACAACCTTCCAGAGTGCTGGTGGCTACCATTCGTTCGGCCGACTTTACCCCAGCTCATATCTTTTAACATTATGGCGCTACATCGTCCATATGTGTTTACACGGCCAACTAGCCGTTACGAGGCGCTTAAGGCAAGTCTTGATATGCTGGAAGCACAGAAGATTTACTTTGCTCTTCTGAAGCCGCAGCAACACAAGACTTTCACACTCTTTTTTGGTACATTCGATGCCATTATCATGATAGCGTCCATTTATATTTTATTTCCGAAGGAGCACCAGGCGATGTTGCCGGGGGCGCGCCAACATTTTGAGTGGGCAATCGAACGCTTTGAGAAGATGGCTACTCGAAATCGACTTGCCCAGGCCGCCTTGAGTGTATTGCGTGCTATATACATCCGCTTCAAGAAGGCTGTAGGCTTTGGCCTGTCGGTAAAGACCACTAGCGAATCGGGCGGCAGCTCTACGAGCAGCGGAGCCTCCAGTAGCTCTTCCGACATGCATACGCCTAACTCTCTATCAGAGCCCTCGTCTCAACACCCGAGCAGTGCGTCGAATATGGGCGCCTCTGCAGTACTGCCGCCGGCAGGGGAGCGGGATGGCAGTATCAGCTCGGGTACTGTCTTGACGCCCCCCTCCGGGACGTCCGACAATATATTCGCAAGCGGGGATTGGACGCTACCAACTAATTTTGACTTCAGCGCGATCATGCCCATGTACCCCATGGGAGACATCGCATATAATGACTTGCAAGCCGTGCGGGGTGGCGATGGGCCGCCGACGACCTGGCCGGAAAGTTTCCCAGGGACGACAAGCAGTAGTAACGTCGTACCTAGCCTAGCAGAAGGGCCCACGGCAGAGGAGCAAACAGCATGGCAATTCGGTGGTGAATTTGGTAACGACACGTTATGGAATATACTAAACCAATTTCCTACTTACTGACAACGAGCTGATTGATATGCGGCGTTGGGGATGATAAGATATAATACAACATGACGGAGACACAGAACGAAGCTAGGCGTGTTTTGTATGCAGACGAATTGGTTCAGGGCTATGATATCCCCCTCCCAATCTTTGGTGATTCGAATAAGAGAAAAAATTGGAGAGTGCCGAATGATCATTAAGAGTATCCTAGAAGGGCCGCTTAGGCTCAAGCCGATCCCTTTATAATGTTGAAACTTTAAGTCCGAAATTTGGTGCCGGCCGATGGGTGGGTTGTTAAGGCCGATGGCGGCTTTAAGGGTCGCGCGTCCCATACATAAACGAGCGTGCTCTCCACCGAGATAGGTAACTCGTCAGGCAATACATAGCAATCATTCGACCAACAGGCTCTGCAGCTAGTGAGGGTGTGACTGACCGCACCGAATGTTTCTGTCGGTTGGTTGTCAACGTCTCGGGCTGGGCTAAGTGATATGTATATCACATGGATTGGCTGCATGGTACGACCGGGTAGGTAATGCCTTTGCTTTGAGCGCGGATGGACGGTGAGTTATGTGGCGTAGATGGATGTAGTAGGTATCGAGGGGAACTCGTGGAACGCATGTGCTCGTGATGATGATGGTGGTGCTCAGCTCCAGGGCGAGTTGAGTTGAGTTGATTTGGTGTTATATAGTAGTTATGTATGTTGGCAGGTGCCTATGTTGTGAACACTAGATGATGCCGAACGGGATATGTTCATCTTGTCTTATCTTTCGTCGCGTCGCTACGACTTTCCTTCCGGGCTTTGGTCCAACTCGCCGCCATACCTACCTACGTACATGCTGCTATATACCCAGACAGTCAGTTATGTAGTTATATTACTACATGGGCAGAGAGGAGACTGCCAGCGCCCCTTGCTGCCCTACCCGCCGCGCTAAGACGATTACCCGCATACGGAACTTACATGGGGGCGAGCAGACGTGTAGTGTATGTATCGAGACCGGGAGCGGTGGCGACGCCCCCTGTTCGATGGGCTGGGCGGGTGGGGTTCCACTGGTCAAGCCAGGGGGGGGTGGATCGTAGGCTAGGGGAGGCGGGCTGGGGGTTAGTGTTGTACGAGGCTATCTACGTCGGGCAATAGCATATATATATATATATATAACGTGTTGGTAGCTGAGCCGCTGAGGTACAGCGGGAGAAGGCGGGTGGTCGCTATGGATATGTACCTATGTAGGTAGGTAGGTAGGTATCTTCTAACGAGCGCGAGATGGGGGGCATGTGTTGAGATGAGCTAGGTCGGCTTAGGAGGGAGAGAGGAGTGGAAGGGAAGGGAGGAAGATGGAGAGGGAGTGCTCTGCTTTTTATGCTGTGTTGTAGGTAAAGCCCGCGGAAGTTGAAGCGTCGAAGGTTGGCTGGCTGGCTGGTTGGCTCTGCGTAACGTCAACTTACTCCTCTTGTAGTGATTATCCTTTTTGGTTTCTCCATCAGCGGGCTGCTATTGTGAGGAGTAGCTGTGAGGACTAGTAGCTTTCTTCTACTAAATGGGGTTAAGAGCAGCATTGTTTATACGTGTTAAGGTTGTTGTTTGATCTACTTATATTGGCCGCCTTCTCCACCGCGAGTTGGCTGTGGCACCTTTACCAATACCACTTTAACTTTGTGTTTTCTTTTTTTATTCATCTCATTATTACTATCACCTTTTGTCCCAGGTACTCTTCACGGTATATTACGGGTTGCCCTTCAAAACTATATTGAATGCGTATCTTCTATAACAGTAGAGATGGGTAAGGAAAAGTTGAGCGTTAAAAATAGCTAGGAGCCTTATGAGACTAGGTATGTTTAGGTAGTTTTCATTGCGCTTATTTGAATTAACCACATATTCAAGGTAGTCAGTTCAAATAACAGTATAGGCCATGTATTTATAGTTACTATTATTATTGCTTAATAGTTACACGAACAGCTACGTTTTGTACCACAGTTCAACACGAGAAAGCACCCAACAATCAGGGTTACCTTGAGCAAGGTATCAGTGACACGTAGGTACGTATGACGTAAATAATAATTAATAGAAAGCTGGTGTTAATATAAAGCTACATCTATCTTGAAGGAACTACGTGCAAATGTTTGTAAAATGTACCTCGGGTACCGAATTTGTTTGGTTGGCCTATTTTTTACACTGAGGATAGCAATATAATGTGACTCTAGATATTTGAATAGTGGTAGAGTTGTCAATCTGCGTAGGTGTAAAGCAGTGTACCCGTTTCGTGAGCCAGCAGCTGGCTTCAGAGGTGTCATACGAAGTAAAAGAGCTGCTTGTATCAATTTGATGTCCTTCTCAGAGCTAGTAATGGATGTAAAGATTTCAACTAAAGAGATGTAAAAAGGAAAATGTGCATATAGTGGAAGGTGGATATATCTTTTAAGGTACATTAATGAAACTAAATTACCTAAGGTATGCGTATGCAGACGGAAGCTTTAGTGTACCTATCTGACCGTAGGGCTGCTAGCCTGCGGGAGATCTCAAGGTACATGAAAGACGACAGGCCAATCACAGCAGCCGAGGGGCCCACTATATATGTACCCCAGACCATTGGGGTCCCTGCAGGACGGCAGACAGGGGACCACAAGCTAAAGAAGATCCACTTTACTTTGATGGCTTACCTGTTATACGTATCCCGAGCTTCATTATCTCGTGGGGTTTGTTCATGTTTGCAGCCTCATATATCTTCACTTCATTTTCTTATAGGGAACGTTAGTTGTCGGCTTTTGTTCTAGAATAAGACAAAGCTAGTGATTTTATCTGACAGAAATTGCATTTATCCTTCATGTGTTGTCATCGTGAAAGCTTTCTCTCCTGTTGTAACTGAATTAGGTAGGCTAGGTACCTAGGTAAGTACCTACTTACACTTGACCAGTTGCGATTGCCTCAGTACGGATTCCGCAAAGCACGGGTTGGAATCCGCGACTGCCTTCCGAATCGTAATAACCTTCCGACTCGCGACTGCCTCTACAAAACCGTGATTCTTTCAATTTAAAAACATTGCTTCTCCCCGCTTCTTCCTTTTGTCCTCTGTCGGTAATTTCTAGCACCTTCAACAATTTTCTACTATTGCAGTAAACATAGAAACTTCACAGCAGCTCATATTAAGCATTCTAAGCCTCTGTATTCCTAGCTTATCGTAGGTTTTGGAAAATGGATCCTCCCAATACTCCCAAATACGACCCTGGAAAGCCGGGCAATCTCAAAGCTTTTGCGGCGCGCTATCACGAGGCGCGTCAGCATCATGCAAGCGATGAGCTCTTGATTAGGGTAGGTCTCTAGCATCGCCGACCATAAACTAAATAGAGCGCGGTTGTTTACTAATTATTCACTATATATAGGAACTCATCCAGTATAATGACAGTGTCGAGACGTATTTCCACCAGGAACTCAACACTTTGGAGAAGAAAGCTAGTGATCTGCAGCTGGACCTCAATAGCTCGGAGAGGACTCGAAGAGATCTCAAGCAAAGACTGGATGAGATGGAAACCAAATTAGGTTATGTTCCGGTATTTACATACTTATTTCTAGCTTGACCTTTTCTTAAGTAACAATCAACTAAACTCTCATTTTTAGGATCGCAACCTTTACATCGTTGTCCTTATTGATGGGGATGGACTAATTGTAAGTATCTTTTCCCACCTAACTCATAGTAAGACACTAGTTAATACTCTTTCCCTTTCCAGTTCAAGGACAACTTCGTTAAGAAGGGTATTGAAGGCGGAAAGATGGCAGCCAATGAGTTACTCAAAGCCATAAATGAAAAGTTCAACTCTGCTGAAACCACTTCGGTCACAGTTATTGTTAATATCTTTGCCAACGTCACCGGCCTGGGTAAAGCCATGAAGCGTGACGGCTGTGTTGCTGACCACAATGCTTTGCACAATTTTGTGATGGGCTTCAACCAGGCCAACGTATCTTCCACCTTTGTGGATGTCGGGTTTGGTAAGGAGTTAGCTGATGCGAAGATCCTAGGTATTTACCCTCTATTATATACTTGTATTTCTAAGAGTAAGAGCTTTTGTCTAACGTACCGACAGATTCTCTTAGGTTCCACTTGAAAAACTTCAACTGCAAGAAAGCAGTCCTGGGTATTTCCCACGACGCCGGATACGCTCCGTTCTTAGCGAATATGGTTACCGACGATACTAAGGAACGTATGGCCCTCCTCGAGGGAACAAAGACTGTTGTGGAACTTGTTTCTCTGGGTCTCCAAATTATAAATGTCCCAAGGCTTTTCCGCCATGAGAAGTTATCAACAAAGCCGCAAGAACCATCTCGGCAAACCTCACCAGCACACTCCCCTAATCCCTCCCAGTCGAAGCTGGCCCAGCTGCCTAAGGTGTCCAATGCCGCCTCGTGGGCAGCCGTCGCTCGCACACTGCCAAGCCCACCCCCTCAGGTCAGCCTGCCGATTCCTCCCAGGGCAACGGCCACTCCAACACGAGCGAGTCGGCCACCTCCAGTGCCGTGGAACCCTGGACCTCGGGGACTGGACCCGCCTATCCGAGTCGACCCAGTCGTCTTAGAGCGTCTTAGAAGGAGAAAGGACTGTTACAGGCTGTGTAACAACCACTTCCTTCGAGGTCCTTGCACTAGGGGCAAAGAATGCAATTTCACGCATGACTATTCCCCCACAGATGAGGAAAAGAAAGCGATCGCCATCTTCGCCCGCTCGAACCGCTGCATTTCAGGACAGGAATGCAGAAACCCCGACTGCATCTACGGTCACCATGTAAGTTGTTTATAATGGTTAAATTACTATATCATGTACTCTGTACTCTGTGATTTCTTTGCATACAAGTTTGAGAAGCGCCACGAGCAGGAACTAACAGGTATTTATAGTGTCCTTGCATTACCAATGGCGTATGCCTCCATCCGCACTGCAAGTTCCGTCTGGATGAGCACCCTCCCGGAACTACGTTCAGAGGCCCCAGACCGAAGAATGATAATGAGAGCTACAGTGAGAGCTATAGTTACGACGACGATGATAAAGAGGATGACTAGTAATCTTACGGCCCGAGGCCTTTCCTCTCCGTCTGTCCTCTTCTGATGAGAAGTTTTTTCGTTTATGCGCTGATACCCCCAAAACTAATGTTATGATAAAAGAAATAAAAGAAGAAAAAAAGGAAGAACTCTGCCAGTTCGATTTCAGAAGTCAGAAGGATTGAAAAGGGTTAGAAAAAGGACTACATGAAAAGAAGGTGTTCCTAAACACTTTAATCGGTGTAGTTGATTTCTCAAGGAGAACGGATTTCACCACAAGACCACTCCTGGAAGACGAACCCCGTATGTACAAATGCGTCGGTAGTATTTGGCAATGCCATTTCTTGCGATAGTGGCCTTGGTTACGAGTTTAATTTACGACGCAGAGGCATGGTAGCACACACTATTTGGGATAGTGTTGGCCCGTGGATGCTGCCAATTTGGATGTCATGGCCAAGCATGAATCCATAGTTGTTAGGAATATGTAAACTTTGTCAGATACGAACCACAAATAAAATTTGCTAATGGCCGCGGCTATTTGAGTTGCTCTATGGGTGTGTAATTTTGTCACCTTGTAAGTGCTTAACCTTAGGTAGAGAACATGTTCGATCTGTCTGGTGTGTGAATTTGACTAGGACGTAACGTAGAGATGGATGCGTAGTGCACAACTAGTTAGCTTTCTTTCTCTTCTATTCCCTTCCGTATACTTGTTTTCAGGTCGCGGTTAATGGACATCTTCCCAATCCCCATCTTCCTCGAAAATCATGCAATATATAAACAAATATACAAGGGCCATGCCAAGCCTATATCAACTACATCACCAACCACGCAAAAACGTAGAGAAGCACAAGTTCTTCTTCCTTGCGCTCCAATTACCAGTTCCACGGGAGAAAAGGGGTGAGCAGCGCCCGCCTAATAACCACTCGAGTAAGTAGCAACTGTAGCCGCCACTTTAGCCGGGGGATAGGGGCGGCGATCGCAAAGCTTGTATAAACGGCAATTTTGCGTGGCGCTCGCCACGTTTTTGATCTCCCGGCACTATATGCAATGCAGGTATTTTCCTCTTAGGGAAATTGCCTCTTTGCCTAGGCAGCTGTTATGTTGCTTTACCCTGTTTCTATCTGACGGTAAATCTTCCCCCTGTCATGGCGGCGGTAGCGCATTGAAGATCCAAGGGTAAGAAGGTCTTAGAGTAATTTACTGGATGCGGGGAAGCGAACCGAGAAAAGCTTGTTGTTCGTGGCATTCGTCACGACGGGGAGGGATCTGCCGGCTCTTATATATATTGCCTGGTCGCTGTATATCTTCGGGGCAATGGGGCTAGCCTTCATCTTTGTTTGAACCTTCCTCCTGTTGCCTCTTGGGTTGACAAGAGACAATGCTATTCTCCGTACTCGTTTTGACGGGCCTTATGGCCAGCACGGCCATGGCGGCCTCGCTTACGTAGGTCTCGAACTACAACAACAACGCGACATCCAAAGCGTAGATGTAAGAATCTTCCTTTCCACTTCCCCTACCATGGAATTAACAGAGATAGGTACGTCTATAAGCCGGACAATGTGGTTGAGAACCCGCCGCTAGTAGTTGTTATCCATTCGTGCCAGTCGTCAGCGCAGTCGTACTTCCAAAACAGCGCGATTCCGTGGCGCCAGGGTTCCGACAAAAAGGGCTACATCACCGTCTGGCCATCCTCTCCTAACAGCGGTACTTGCTGGGATGTATCATCTAAGCAGTCCTTGAGTCATCTTGGTGGTGGTGACTCCCAAGCCATCGCAAACATGATCTTATACGCTATCTCCGAGTACAAGGTTGACCCCGAACGGGTCTACGTCACCGGCGGCAGCAGCGGTGCTATGATGTCCAACGTACTTGCTGCCACGTACCCGGAGCTTATCAAAGCCGTGTCCCTGTACAGCGGCGTGGCCGCAGGATGTTTTGTCAGCTCGTCCGGCGGTGTCGACCAATGGAATAACAGCTGCAGTGGCGGACAATCGCAAGCCACTCCCGAGAAGTGGAAGCAGGTAGTGTTGGACATGTACCCCGGATATGACGGACCGAGACCCAAGATGCAGATCTGGCACGGTAGCGCCGACGGCACATTGGCGCCGCAGAACTATCAGGAGGAGATCAAGCAGTGGACTGCCGTCTTCAACGTCAGCCAGGAACCTACGGAATCCGTGCAAAACTCCCCCAAGCAGGGATATACAACGAACAACTTTGGTGACTCTGTCCAGGGTATCTACGCACAAGGTGTAGGTCACAGCGTGCCGTCCAATCTGACAGCTAGTGAGATATGGTTCGGGTTGTGATGTGGCGGGATACCGAGCGCTATGACTGCCGATATTAGCATGTATCTATATGAAGTGAGGCGCTATTTTGTACATACAAATGAAATTTGTCGATTAAAATTGAAGGGGGCGTTCTTAATACGCTTCCAACATAAGATGTCATTTTGCCTGTATCGGAGTCCCTCCTTTTCATTTAGCTCTCATGCAATGAACTGCAACATCTTTTCCAATCTGGTTTTATAGCTTTGCTATCTTCTCTCTATTGTTAAATCCCGTGTCCTATAGAAATAGGACTAAAGCTAATGCTTCTATTCCGGTAGCATGAAAGGAGCTGTGACCAATTATGATGGATTGGACAAGACTTCTGCAACCGAACTAGATAGTTCAGGGTACGGATCTAAATATTTGGGTATATTAGTGTTTGAATTGATTGGCATTGGAGTAGATGTTTTAATCATCCACTCGCCCTGGGAAATATCGATTTCGGAGCCCTGGTTATCGAATAGCCTGAGATCGGTTATTAACCTAGGATCTCGGTCTCGCTCATATCGATCCATCTCGGCGGGCGTCCAATTTCGATTATTGATGATTAACTGTGCGATTTCGACTTTATCCTCTGTCTTGAGAACCATCTGAGGTACACGTAGTAGATGCGCCCATTCTTCACCAACGGATTCGCAGATATGCCCAATTTCTCTGTTTGCCATACCATCCACCCACCACACGCCTTTAGTTATTTTAGAGAAAGCCAGATAATGAGCCAAGAGGACCAAGGCCCGAGGTCGATGCTCCTTAGCAAGCGGAATAAACGCCTTTGGGACAAATGCTATTAAGGTCTAAAGTTAGTACATAATGGTTTAACAACTTGTGGGATTACGAGTTTTGAGCTGTGCTTGAACCATTCTAAGGCGGGGACTGCTACGAAAGAATAGAGCTGACTCCTTAAACAATGTTGAACTCGGATACGTACTGAGGAAGGTGACGATGCGAAGATCGAGGATAGGACTGAAGCCATGCTCCTTGACCTCCTGATAAAGCGAGCCAAGACATTTGAGCATATCATAATACGTTTGCTGATGCTCATCGTCGGTATCACCAGGCTTAATAGAGGCTACCATGAATAATAAGTTGTTTGGTATGTACGCGGCCGCCTTCTCCAGGTCTATCGGTGGCCTGTAGAATAGCACCGCCATCCCTGACTCTTGGAGGACTCGTGGTGTGACGATCTCAAAGATGAGGCTGATTCCACGCCAGACATGCATCCAATCCACCACGTACAGCGGCTTTGCATCCGGATCTCGGAACGGCTGACTACTCACAGCCACCATTAGAAGCGAGCACGCTATTAGAGCAGGAAAATCACGTGGATTTGCTGTCTCAATAGCATTCCGGTAGCCCTGGAAGGCTCTGTAGCAATAAGCTGCCGTGCGTTGAGCCGGAACAGGCTGGTTCATCGATTGGAGATGAAGTGACGAAACTGCCATTAAACAATCCATGAGAAAAGGAGACTTGAAAGCGTGTTGGACAACTTTCACCTGCAGCACATGATCGACTGCTGGAGAACGACCGGTTTGGATTGAGAAGAACTGATATCCTCGGCTAGTATAGAACCACAGCATTTTCATATCTAGAGCGTCAGTCATCTCGGGTGGCCGAAATAGAGGCTCGGAAATAACCATAGTGCTGGGATCGGTGTTAAATGATGGCCGAGGGGAAGGTATAGGAGAAGAAGAGTTAGAGATGGGAGTAGGTCTAGAGACTAGGGTTGTAGATAGAGCTGCCGAGGCCGAGGCGGCTGGATATATGCATTTCTCCTTTCGAAGCCTACATGCTTTACATATGGGCCTCGTCTCGTCGCACTTGGACCACGCATTAGTGTTTTAAGACTTTTATTTATATGCGGCACTCTGTTACCTTTACTTTACGCTTTTTGCATTGCTGACATCCGGCTCGAGATTTCTTGTGAGGCCGTTTTGAATGATAAGGTCTATCAGAATCTGGACTGTCCCCGGAGGGCTTACTATTAGAGGAACCGGTCTCAGGCGGAGAAGCGAGATGCACAAGGCTGCTGTCGTCGACGGCGAAGTTTATATCTAGCACGGCGTTTAGGCAGACATTAATATCTGGAGATTCAACGTCTGCTCCGTCCATTTTCGTCTCATCAATCGGGTTGCGCTAAGTCAGCTTGGCATCATTGTTGGATAGCTAGTAAGCGCCTCTTTTTTCTGACTATTATGTATAAGTGTAACCGGATTCGTATTGTGGAAACGCCTTATTCTTCAAGCTTGCAGGAATTACGTAGGGGGATGCACTCGAGAAAAAAGCAATGAAATATGTACGGAGGACTTATAAAGGTTGACGGAGAAAACTCGCGTAATTAAATGGTCCTTAAATGTGACTTGTTCCCCTATCACTTTCCTTACTTTATTCCTTACTTTAGTTCCTCTAGTTTCCCGATGTTACCTAGTTTGGTGTGGCAGTGGCTACTGCTCATTGCTGACACTGACGTATCTCAGATCTGACAGTGCCCCACTAGGTAACATGGGTATATATGTATGTACTCCGTTGCTGTTCCCTATCAATATGTACTTTACTGATTCGCGTTACCACAATTGCTTGAGTATTGGCATAACCATGCGATGAAGTGGGGGGATTCAGCCGCACTCTTATGCCTCCTATTTGAATACAGGGTTGACAGGAAATAATAAATCGTCAAGTTTAACCCAAACAGAACTCCCTTGATACCGCACGGATGAAGTTCAGTTACACATATGTATATACCCATATGCATGCACGGCATCTTTAGTCTTTAAGCTTTAATTATGATACAAGGGAAGATGCAGCGTGCATGCCATCTTGTACGCATCTATATATGCTTGCCGGTATCTTGCCGGTATCCTGTCGGGATCTAGTATGGCTTATTAAGCACGTATCGTATGTCACAATATATTCTTATTAAAATGAAGGGAACTAGAGTTCTGGGAAATGATCAAAGGTAAGACTTGATGTTATGTAATGTTATGTAATCCCGTTATATCAGGCCATTAAGATGCCGACTCATATTTTCTGTCCCGACTTCCTCTATGCAGCCTTAACACGCTATGTAAACTCACTCAATCATCCTTACCTCCAAATACCTAATATCTGCATATCTTTTGTTTTTACATATACCACGTAACGTACGGGCATAATTCTCAAGATAAATTATAATACACCTACCTACCTACCTCATGTAGCTCTGCCCGCAAGCATTGCCTTCTATCGGCGTGAGATATACCATCCTGCGCGTCCGCAAAATCCAAACCCAAACAATGACCAGCATCTTCGAGCTCCCAGACGACCTCCTCGCCGCCCTCATCGAGAGCTTCCCCTGCCGCGACGCCCAGATCAGAGCTCTAGCAACGCTACTCTACCCCCGAGCCGCACCGTGCCGCAACCTAATCATCCACGGCACGGAAGCAACAGGCAAGAGCGCCGTCACCTTGCGTCTCCTCGAAGCGTTATCTTCGGCTTCTTCCAGCGACGACGACGCGCCGCTGTTCAACTACGCCATCGTGAAGTCCGTCGAATGCGTCACGGCGCGGCATCTATACGAGCGGGTTGTTGGGGCGGTGGGCGATGCTCTGCAGTGGGAGTCGGAGGGGAGGCCGGCGGTTGGACGCTGCGAGACGATTGCTGCGTTGACGGTTGAGCTTACCAAGATGCTCAAGTACGACCAACCCCAAGAGAGAGACTCGAGGTTCGTGCTTGTATTCGATGGCATCGATCGCCAGAGGGAGCCACCACCAACCCTATTACCCGCTCTAGCCAGGCTCTCCGAGATTGTACGTCACCTTCTATATCCACGTATTCACGTCTATACGTAAAATCCAACTCCAAGCTAACACCCTCACCAGATCCCCAACCTAACAACAATATTCATCCTCACCGCTCCCTCCCCCTCCCTCCTCCGCGTCTCCTCCGTTCCGCAGCTCTACTTCCCACCGTACACGAAATCCGAATACGTAACAATCCTCTCGCGCCCGCCATACCTCCCCCCCTCCCTCCCCAACACCACGCCCCAAGAAACAACCGACCTCTGGACGCGCTTCACAGCCGCCGTCCACGACGCCCTAGCAAAACCCGCATCGCGCTCCCTCCCCGGCCTCGCACGCTCCTGCGCCGCCCTATGGCCTCGCTTCACCGCCCCGGTCGCCGCAGGCACCCACCGCGCCCGGGAATTCTCGAAGCTGCTCGTCGCCGCGCGGGCCTACTTCCAAGACGAAGCCGTCCTCGAGCCCGGCATCACACTTGCCAAGGGCCCAATCTCCGCCGGGGAGAAGGAAGCAAGAAGCAGCAGCAGCAGCAGCAGCAAAGACCTCGCCGCCCTTCTCCCGCCCACCGCCCGCCTCCTTCTAATCGCCGCCTACCTCGCCTCGCACAACGCGCCCCGCCACGACCAGACCATCTTCAGCACCTGGCACTCTGGGCGGCGGCGGCGGCGCGGCGGCGGCGGTATCGCACATCGCATTACGAAGAAAGCCAAGCACAGGAAGATCGCGCGCAAGCTATTAGGTCCTAGCGCCTTTGTGCTGGAGCGCATGGTTGCTATCTACGCCGCCACACGGCAGGAGTGGGTTAACGACGAGAATGATGGAGCAGAAAACCAACCTACCGTTGACGGGGACGTCGGCATGGCGATTGCGACACTAGCTAGTTTGCGCCTGCTCGTTCGTGTCGGAGGAGCGGGCGGCGCGGGAGACACGATGGATCGTGGTGGAAAGTGGAGAGTAGGAGTTGGGTGGGAAGTCGTACGAGGCGTTGGGCGGAGTATGGGAGTTGAGGTTGAGGAATGGCTTGTCGAGTGAAGAGGAATGAAGCACGGGTGAGATCTAATACTGAAACAAGTTGGGATACTACACACATTACGATACCCTTTTGTTATATACATCATTGTAGCTCTTCCAAAATAACAGTAATTTTGATCTACATGTCTGTGATCTACCAATCATGAATATAAAATGTCTTCGACATGTTGCCTCAATACCTTTGTAACCAGCCTACACTTCCGCTAAAATTGCCGCTTCGCTTCGCTTTTTCACAATCAAACATACTGAATCCTAGCTGTTAGATTCATTTCCGTTCAAGAACTTTCAAGGGCCAGGACCTATTATATCAATTAGCTTCCATCGGGTACTCATTTAAGTGACTTTCATATAGTTAGAAGGCTTACAAGTGCAGTGCGGCTGGGAATGTATATATGAGTCCAATTTGGACGGCCATTCCACTCCATTGGGGTGGTAAAGAACCGGGCCTTGTGATCATTGCGTTCGAAACCGCCGACTTCCTTCGTATCCGAGTCGAGCACAATCTTATAGGTGCCTGGAACATCTATGCCGATTCTATAGTCGGCAAAGCTCTGGGTGGGGTGGAAGTTAAAGATAAAAACGCAACCGGCACGTTCAAATACGATGACCTTGTCGCTCTCGTTCTTAAGGCTAATGTACGCTTGCGGTGCATGTAGCCAACCATAGTGGGCTTCAGTCAAGTTCATCTGACGGTCAAACTCGTTAAGATCCTGATAACGGAGGAGATTGTCTTCGGTTAGGTTAAGCTGGCGCCTCGCATACCAGAACGAGTTCTGATTGCCCTCGCGTGGGAAGTCGAGCCATTCTGGGTGACCGAATTCGTTACCCTCGAAGTTAAGATAACCCTCGCCACCCAACCCGTGTGTCAACAGTCTGATCATCTTGTGCAGTGCCATACCTCGGGAGATGACTGGGGTTAGAGGTGAAAGCTTTGACATGTTAGTGTACAGTTCCGCGTCGCACAGGTGCATGAGTAAGGTTTTGTCGCCCACGAGACTAGAATCGATAGGGGTCAGTTGGTCATATCTTGTTAAGGGATATTACTTGTAATACGCACGCTTGATCATGGCTCTCACAATAAGCGATGGTCTTCTCGCCGTGTCGCCTGTTAGTGAGAGTCCAGCAGATGCCGGATATGTCCCAGTCCTCGTCTTTCTTCTCTTTTAGAATCTTAATCCACATATCTGGAATAGCCATTGCTAATCGGTAGTCGAATCCAACGCCGCCAAGTGACAGCGGTAAGCAGAGAGCTGGCATGCCGGAGACATCTTCCGCAACAGTAATAGTCTCGGGGTAAAGATCGTGAAGCATTTCATTGGCGATCATTAGATAGGCGACAGCTTCTTCGTCAACATCCGGGCCAAAATATTCATGATACCCGCCAGAGAACCCCCTATAAATCAACCATTAGCATTAAGTCGTCCGTATAGTCATATCAAGTGCAATCTTACGTTCCAATACCGTGATGATGATATAGCATGCTGGTGACACCATCAAAACGGAACCCGTCGAACTGGTATTCGTCCATCCAAAATCTCAGATTACTGAGCAGAAATCTCAAAACCTCATGGCTACCATAATTGAAGAGCCTCGAATCCCACAGCTCATGTCTACCCCTTCCACCCTCGTGGAAGTATAGGTGATCTGAGCCATCAAATTCGTTTAGGCCATCAAGCACATTCTTTGAAGCATGGCTGTGCACGACGTCGAGGAGGACAACCAAACCCATGCTGTGGGCGGTATCGATTAGTTCTTTGAGATCCTCGGGTGTACCATACCGACTGCTCGCAGCAAAGAAGTTGTTTACTTGATAGCCAAAGCTAGCATAATAGGCATGTTCCATGATAGCCATGAGTTGGATGACATTGTATCCTAGGCCTTTTATTCTCGGCAGCATACTCTTGGTAAACTCCTTGAACGATGTGACTTTCTGCTCAGGCGAGGAGATACCCACGTGCGCTTCATAGACGCGAGCACTTGCTGGTTTCTTCGGTCTCGTATTCTTAAATACGTACTTCTCAGACTCGGGAGGGTTCCAGAAGCGGGCATCGTAGGCAGGTGAGACGGAGAGATCCTGGGTAACATATTTAATCCAAGCTGGCAGTCGATCAATTCGCTCGTGGGACGGTGTCGTCATGGAAATCTATCGTCTAGCTTTAGTAAATGTAGAGTTTAATCGTCTGAATAAAGCTGTGTACCTTTATCTTAGACTTGTGTGGGATAGCTGGTTGTCCGTTTACTGCCGGTACAGTGATTTCCCATACTCCAAAATCATTCTTCTTCATAGGGTGAGAGCCTCTGTTCCATCCATCTAACAGTATCAAGTCAGTGCGACAGTTTAGGATGTAGCCTAGGAGGACTGGCGCTCACTAAAGTCTCCAATCAAGAAAGCTTCAATAGCGTTCGGTGCCCATTCCCGATATATAACATTGTTATCTTTATCAACATTGAGGCCGAAGATCTCGGTACCCTAAGTTTGAGAGAGATGTATGTGTTAGTATCGAATCTTGAAAGCGGGTTGGTGCCCAACGTGGTAGTAGTGAAACAGACTTTGGAGAACTTCTTAAGCCCGCCCTCGGTTTCGTCAATCTTTTTGATCCAATCTTGAGCCCTGGCGTATCTTCGCTTTAGAGTGTCCTGGAAAGGTGATAACCAAGGATCCAACTGAACGACACCTATGAATTGTACTGTTAACTAACTATCCTATACAAGTGACATAATAATAGGATTAAAAAGAAGTCGCACCGGTGCCATCATTGGGTATTCCTGGGGCAGCTCCAGAGGCAAGGCTATTTGCAGATTTGTCGGTTACGGCAGTCATCTTGTTAACCGTGACTCTTGATTTTGAGAAACGGAAAGGAAGAAGACGTTTGAAGTTGAAGAGTTGTAAAGCGCAAGAAGGCATGGAATGAATTAGCAAAGGCCTGTTAGTTAAGGTTAGCTTGACACCAAGCTCCCCCGCTAAACAAGCTACCTATGATGTAAAACAGGCTATGATGAAAGGGAGCTAGCTATGCTTGCAGGCTTGCAGGCTTGCAGGCTTGATAAGAGCAAGTTTGGGATTTGGGAAGTTGCGCCTGTTTCTTTATGATTGTTGCTATAACTATTTCTATTTCTCTCTGGACTTAAAGAGCCCAGAGGAATAGACTTAATTTAAGGAGTCAATCGCGCTACTTGATTTCCCAACATATTCCCAACATACTCATATTATCTCGCTAGGTATTTAATTGTTATCGCAAAATTGCTTCCCTAGATGAGGAGAAGGAAAAAAAAAAAACTCCAGCCCAATAATCATGTCGAATGACGTCGAGGGGCAATTCCTGCACCAGTAGATAACCTGAAGTACAGTGGTTGTGGATCTATGTCTGCTATATGGACCCGTCAATCAATGTCTAGATCCTCTAGCACTCCGCTTTTTCCTCTGCCCAGTTTACAAGGTAACAGACGATTGGTATTTTCAATGACGAAGTAGTATGTTGGGCTGAAAATATGGATTTCGCAGATGAAGCGTAAATGCCATGTCATCACATCTATCAAATAAATTCTAAGTTGTTTATGGGTGTTTGTTTGAACGACATTAAGAAAACATAGGTAGTTTAGGGTACCTAATGTATAGAGCTTAGAGTTGAAAGCTCTTGCGGGGCATATGTTAGCTTAGGCCTAAGATGATGTACTGATGTATAGCATCCCCCGCCAAAATGGAGCCCCGCATTACATAATTGCGTAAGGTTCCTTTCAAGTCCCTATGTTGGATCATCGCTGCTGGATCTCACTTCAATAACGCGTCCGATACAGGAGGCGCAACCCAACGCCCTCTAGGCATTATATCGAATTTAGTCTTCATTGGTTTCAAACATAAGGCGAATAGTACTTTGGGTACGATACAGAATACATGTCATAGTCGCATTCTACTTTAATTTTATTGGCTTGAAATATACCGTGCCTATCCTTTCAAAACACATGTACGCCTTCATGCCGACTACAACGTTAAAATTATAGAAATAAATAGTATCCATTGGAGGACCACCTCTACCAGCGCCAATATGAGGTCGGTCCTCGTAAGGCGTCGCATATTGCCACTTTCCGTCTTTCCAAGAACCCATTATCGAGCCCTGTCGGCCACTACCACCTTTCGTATTGCGAGACGCAGCTCGGAATTCAACTCGGGCTTTACGAGTAGCTATGATCCAAACGAAGAAGGGCGCGGCCCTATGTTCTCTAAGAACACATTCGGGGTGCCTCAATTCTACCCCCGAGACCTTAAGAAACGAGTCGACGAATATGTAGTCGGACAAGATCGGGCAAAGAAGACAATATCTTCCGTCATCTTTAATCATTACCAGAACGTACGGCGGCGGCAACATCAAGAGGAACAGGAGAGAAAGAGAGACGAGAAGCTTATGCGGCAGGCTATTGCCCGCGATCGTAATGCGAGGGAGAGGGAGCCGAATCCTGTTGAAGGTTGGCATAATCTAGAATCAATGACTCGACGGCATCGCGCTGACGATATATCTGAAGATGAGTATCCGGGCCAGTATAATACTATACAGAACATGCACCAGGAATGGCAACATGTTGAGCAGAAAGTTGATTTCTATATACCCGAAGATGCTAGTCGAGCACCGGCTGTGAAGATTGATAAAAGTAATTTGCTACTATTAGGCCCGACTGGTGTTGGGAAAACCTACATACTTGAGTAAGTGTCCACGTGCTGCCGGTATACATATACCCCTTAGTTAACCCTTAGTAGAACATTGAGCAAGCAGATTAACGTCCCCTTCACTATCTGCGACTGCAACTCCTTCACCCAAGCCGGTTACATAGGCCAAGATGTCGAGACATGTATTGAAAGATTGTTAATAGAGTCTAACTACGACGTGAGAGCTACGGAGCAAGGGATAGTAGTCCTCGACGAATTTGACAAGATTGCCAAACGCGAGACAATAAATGGGAGAGATGTAGGTGGCGAGGGCGTGCAGCAGGCGTTGTTAAAGCTGGTTGAGGGGACGAAAGTTACCATCAATGTCAAGGACAACCGCTCGTCATCTTCATCGCGTTCGGCAAGCCCTATCACTACTAATTATACCGGCCCGGGATCCTCAAATTCTACTTCGGGGCCTCAACCGACGCTACCTGCTGCTGGAAAGGTGGATCAATATACCATCGACACGAGCAACATATTGTTCGTCATGTGCGGAGCTTTCGTCGGTCTCGATAAGGTGATACTGAATCGAGTATCCAAGTCCAGCATGGGCTTCGGTTCCGAGCTCCGTAGTCGGCCTACCCCCGGAAGCAAAGCGGACCTGCCGCCGGCATTATTCAATCACCTTCCCCACCGCCCTCCGAACGGTGAGGATACCGCGACTCTAACAGCGTTGGACCTCGCGACGTCCGAGGACTTACAAGGTTTCGGGTTCATCCCCGAACTGATCGGACGCGTGCACAACATAGTAGCACTATCCCCGCTGTCGCGATCAGATCTACTTAGAATTCTAACAGAACCGCGCAACTCACTAGTCGCACAGTACACAGCGCTGTTCGAAACATACCCTTCGAACCTTTTCTTTACTCAGAAAGCATTGCAAGCCATCGCGGAACGCGCGGAAAAAGCGCAGACGGGTGCGCGAGGTCTCAAGATGGAGATGGAGCGCGTGTTGGCCGAGCCTATGTTCGACGCGCCTACGCACTACGTACTGGTCACCGAGAAAGCCGTACGCGGCGAAGAGAAAGTCGGCTACTGGGGTAAAGACGGCAGACTCGAAGTCGAGAGGCTGATACGCGAAGAAGATGGCCTGGCCGGTGTCCCGGGGCAAGAAGCTCACGGCAGGGAGATCGTAAGCAGTCTCGGCGACTATCGCGAAGCTGGCCAGAGCGGGGCTTAAAGGATAGATATAGTTAATTGAGATTGTGAAGTATTTGCCTCATCGCAAAGGGTTTTGTTTGGGATACCTGGCGTGGTGTTGGTAAGGGAATGGGGTTTCTATGGCTTCGGGCATATTCAGCATAGCCGTCTTACATTAGGCGGTTTGGTGTTAGGGATATTGGAGGGCAATAGGGTATGCGAGGGAAATAGGTATATATATATATAACTTAAAAAGCGCTGAAGTAGCTTCGCGTATACCTCGATTATGAATTTGAATGGATGATGCATGGATTGTACAGAATACTAAGCTGCCTATATAACTGTCAAATTCGATTTGAGTAACAACTGTGCCTGTTTCCTGTTTCCTGTGGTACGCGTGCATGTTTGTCTAACCATCTAAACTTTTACTCTGTGTAAGGTATATATACATCTAACCAAATAGCTATGCAAATAGGCACTTATGGTTTGCTCACTTCTTCAAACGGTCAGTCGACTCATTATCATGGATTTGTATTGTGCCTATTTATCCATACTCGTCCTAGTTTTTCTACTGAAGAACTCACCTCAAGTTTTAGGTTCAATAGTGAATTACATATGTTGATGAAGATAGAAGCGCGGAATGGCACTGTTTAGTTGTAGAGCACAAGCAGTAGCACTTGATGCGACAGAGGATTTATAGAACGGCATAGAAGGTTTGTTTCTTCTTGTACATATTTACAACGCCAGGCGTGGTCTAGTCGACTAACCTGCTTCACCTAGGCACGAGGACCGGATCCCAGCTGGAACTAAAATCGGTGTCTCTGATGTGCTGCTGTTGTTGTTGTTGCTCGAGCTTGCGATTGCCAAACTGCTTTTGCTTCGGATAGCCAATGCGCCCCCGCCGCCTACTACTCCATCCCACTCCAGTTGCTTTTTTATTTTGTACATGGAAGTTAATGCCTTGCACTGCGATTATATGGGACAAATGGAAAGATTTTTGGAGACCAGAGTAGGTTTGGTTACGTAGGTAGGTAGGTAGGTATTAAAGAGGCTAGGTCTAGTACGTCTACTGCTTGGGCGGCGACTGAACCATACCCGCGCCGCTGTAGTTTTCGGACGAGAGACCGGTAAGAGGCTCGGCACGTTGGTTCTGTTATAAGTTAGTTCAAAAACCCTTTGCAAAATCAATATCAGTCCTTCTCACCTTGAGGTACTCGTTGGAAGCCTCCTGCCATTCCTTGGTCATAGTGCTGGGACCGGAACCGCCGAACGCGCGCATTGTGGCGAAAAGAACGAAACTAGTAAATAGGCCGAGTGCGGTGTATAGAGCGATCTTGCGACCCTCATCGGCGGGGGGTGCAGCGCGAGGACCGTGAGCGCCGAAGGCGATCCAGTAGGCTGTTGAGGGGTGTCAGTCCGTGATGTCTTCAAATACATGAATCGTGAATGGCTAGATCAAGCCGTGCGGGTCCACTCTTCATTCCGGAACGTTGTATATGGAAATGCACCCCAATCCCAATAGCCCAACAGTGATGGCAAGATGTTTTGAAGCCCAAATCGAGACTCAATGGTGCTATATCGAAGAATCGCAAATGCTACGTACCGGCCTTCTTCTCTTGAAGGGTGAGTTCGGCCCAGTTCTCCTTCATGCGGTCTCGCAGGGCCATCCACAGCTCGGCCTGCTCAGTCTGAGGCAAGCCTTCCCATCGCTTCTCGATGTTGGCTAGGGTCGGGTTCGAGATAGCGTGCGTGGAAGCGGCAGCGCGGGGGACCATAGTCGTCGTTCTGCTGGCCCGGAGGGCGCCGCGCAGGAGTGAGGTTGTGGTTGTGCGCATCATTGTGACTTATGTCTTGAAGAAGAAAAAAGATTTCAGACAAAAATTTCAACAATGCCGTTTGGGTCGGTCGGGAGAGCGGAGATGTGGGTCGATTGAGGCGGTTGCGAGGCCTGCTGGACGATGAAGTGGGATCGCGGGAGGGTTCTGAACGACGGATGCTGTTGGAGCTTTCGTTTTTGGGGCCAAATTCAATTGAGAGTCTTTTTTTCGATTAAGATTTAGTAGTCGTATGATGTTGTGGAGCCAATGGAGGAGCTGTTTTTGTGCCTCAGCAGCCTTAGGCAAGCTTTTACACTTGTAAATTCCAAGCTCTAGCCCAAAAGGCTGCTAGGGTCCTTACGGCTAAAATTCGGACCAAGGTAAACAAGTATGAAAGATAAGGTACGACGTCACACAAGGATCCGGGGAACTGATATGGACCTCTATATGTACGCACTGTTACCTAATGTATGTACCTACATAGGTACATACATAGTATATGTGTGAAAGATTTATGTATGATGTATTATTGAACGGCAATAGTCAACTATTAAATCTTTATTTATCTTGGCTCTCTATGCATTGAAATTATCTCTTAATAATAAGATAGGTAGGTAGCTATGGAGACGAGCAATACCCCTCCGAAAGTCTTTTATATTCGTAGTATTTATCAATTGCTAGTGTTCAACATCCTAGACTTAATCACTGTCTCGATGATTAATCGTCTAAGCTAATGACTTGATAAAAAAGACCAAAGGTATCTCGCATTGCTGGGTTAGCGTGAGCAGTTCGACTTAGTTCAAAAGACAACGCCACCTTTGAGCTATCCACTGCTATGGCGTTGATGATGCTCATTGGTATATCAAACAACAAAACCAGACCATGAGCTTGAGAACGTTGCTATTAAGCACCGGAGATATCTTCAGGCTTCGCAGTAACCGCTACCTCTGGCAATATAATTCATATGATGCCCAAGTAGGATTCATGAAGCTGGAACTATTCGATATACTGGGTATCTAGCGACTAAACATAGCTAGCGGTTGCGTGAAGTGTCCGTCTTGGGCGTTTTTTGTTGTGCGAGGTCCTTGACTTCGGGCACTTTATCTAGCTGCTGGTTATCTTTTACCAGGCGTTGCTGTGCCTTCTCTTGTTGCTCCCTGAATGCAGGATCTAGTGCATAATAAGCTAAATAAGAGGTTCAGTATTATCACATGTGCATTGTAAAGGAGCTATGGCCAATTCATACCGGTCCAAATTCCAAAGGCTACAGCAAGACCTACGGGAAGAGCGGCGCGAGTGAATGAACTCATATTTTCGAAGGTATAAGCGTTGGAGATGTTTTTCGAGGTGATAATGTTTGGTGTGATAATCGGCTTAGTGTTGAGGAAATATTGTCAAAAGAAAATCGATTATATTTGATTACAGCATATCTCTTGGATGGCTACACATTATCCCAGGATATGCATTAAAGAATTAAGTGGTGGTAGAATGCTGAAGACTTACAAGTTACAGGCCACTTTTAGGTAAGTCGGTACGTACATGGGTACATGATGTACCTTAGCCTGCCCCACCAATCGCTAATGCATGTACTTTTAACGCGTTTAAGTGTTTTTGACGCGTTGAGAGTCTTCATTATTGGCAACGTCTGCCTAATTTATATATCTACGTAACATGATTGAATTTCCCTTCGTTTCAATGTAGGGAAATGCATCTCGGACTCAATGGCGAAATGGAAGGAGCTTGGAGAGGTGCCAGATTCGGACGACGAAAGTGGTTTCGATAGCAGTCAAGAACTTGAACATGAATCTGAACATGACCTCCCACTTCAGCAAAGTGGTGTTAATATTTCAGATGAACCTGTCGTGGAGGGTCCAGCACTTGAGGATCAGAATGTTTGGGATATACCCTTATCATCTCAAGTCTCTAAAAATGAGCATAACGTAACCCGCAGTTCACCTCGACCACAATCACCACAATTACCACAAGCGCCCTCCGAGCTAGCAACGATTCATTATCCCGATTCATCCCCTCTTTCATCGCTGCCACCCCTTGAGCCTAGAGGTGACCCCGAGGACTCAACCAAAACCGCCGAGACTAGCAAAGTCGAGTTAAATGGGCCTCGAGTATCGGACGTAATTTCTCCTAGTTTGCCTAAACAATTCGTCAATGCAATCTTCGAGGTAGATGTCCCGGAGGAGGGCGAAGAGGATTCGATACAGGAAGCAGTTCGGTCCGGACGATCCTTGAGACCGCGGAAGCCAATCCAAGAGCATCCTTACTTGCTAGAGAGTGCACAATATAGCAAGACTCTCAAATCACATGGCGTGCGACCCTTGCGTATGCAAATCGAGGAGGCGGCGAGAAGAAGAAGGGAAGAGGAGGATTCCCAAGAACAAGATTATGAGGACGAAAGCCAATCTACTGTCAGAGAGCTGGCTCAGGAGGATTCGGGGGACAGTCAAACAGTACAACATCCTGATTTACTCGGTATATCTGATCTACCTGATCTACCTGAGGATGCCGATATGGAAGGGTTGTCAATCAGAAGTCCATCTCCACTCCCTGGACGCAGAGGTGCTGAGCCCAACATTTTTCTAGGGAGTTCGCAGGATGACGAACTTCCGGATCCGGCTGACACGGCCAAATGGAAGCTAGGAAAGAGACCAACCATGGTCGCTAAGAGACAGGCTTCACCTAAGGCCTCTGGGAAACGAAAGCTGCCGAAGCTGCACCAGCCTGTCAGGTTCGCGGGAGTCGTTTCGCCACGAGGGCAGGCTGATAGTGTATTTAATGTTCCACCATCACCGCCGCAAACGAGCCCAAGTTTCATGACCCGCACGTCGGTCACTAATACAGAACGCTCTCGACCTGTCACAACACTTACACCGAACCAAAGCAGTACGATATCATCAAGGAACCAAAGCCCTGCACTAGTAAACGAGAGCAATGGTTTGATTGACCTCATCATGATAGAAGACGGCGACGAGCTTGATAGCGGGCAAGATGCGGAATCTAGCGATTCCGAGAGCGACACTGAAGTGGCACGAGTCGCAATGAGGAGAAAGATGCGTGGCGTATTACCTGCTTCTTGGCTCCGACTTGATCAGCCAGGTACGCGCCGGAAAAGCCCCCAGGACATTCCGCAACGGAGCCCCGAACACTCACCGGAACGGACTCAGAGAAAAGGTGTAGCTCAACGCCGACAGGTCTCGCCTCGACCTGGTGCTGATGCGGCGCTGTTTCTTGATTCGGATGATGATGACGATGTAACTTTACGAGCTGAAGATCTTCACGAGTTTAATAATAACAATAATAATATCCCTATCTTTGAAGATGATGCTGGCTCTGTTATCGAAGATGACTCGATCGACTATATGCTCTCTGGGAATAAAAGGGCCCGCACGGATACCGATGGATTAGAACGACCTAAAAAACGGAGAAAAAATCAGCAAACAACATTTAAAGGGTATCTAGGCCAGCAAAAGCGGCAACAGAGGATCACTGGGCTGCTGAGTAGGACAAAAAGTACGACGACTCGACCGAATGCCAAGAGACGTGATACGGAGAATAATTCAGGTGGAAGACGTCACACAAAAGGACTTAGTAGAGCAGTAGCTAGTTCTACGCCGCCGCCCCAGCTCAGTATCCTGGATGTTGTCGAACCGAATGCGCCCCCTTTTATTCGCATAGCTGCTCGAACAGCGAACAGAAGGTCCGACAAGGGTAGATCAAGCCCGTCGAAGAAACATATTGCACTGGGGACGCGCGAGGATAATATTGATGCTACCAGCATCCTGAGGGACTGGAAAAGGGGTCGTATCAAGCCAAAGATTACAACCAGCGCTTCGACTAGGTCTCAAATCGAGTTACCGAAACCCCTTCGCTCTCTTTCTTATAATTCTGTTACCCAACCCCCAAAGGTCATATCCAAACCACGAAATCGTGTTGTGCCCTCAGGCCGCTTTTCGCAACCGCGGCGAATGGTTAAACAGGCGAGCATTGACAATTTTATGACCGTCGAAACGGGAACATCGTCTACACATACTCAATTGGACCATGGAACCTCTTTACCGAAGCGTTCTCAACTTGGCCGAACCAACTCCCTCAACGCGGCTTCGAGGCCTGCGCAACTTGAAGCAGTTGGAGAACAGATTGGGCGGCACGCTTTTGATGCACGGAAGAGAGCTCTCGACGCACTATATAGAAAGTCACGTAGGGAACTGCCCACGCCAGCGCGTATTGGGCTCGAACGACTTATAGGTCGCAATTTATCCTCTGAAAGCTCTAATAAGCATACTGGAAATTCGTCGTCTGGTGATGGTCCCGAAAGACTTCAACCCGCAACAGGACGAAAGCGTTTAAAGTTCCGGAAACATTTTCAACCTCAACACGTAGATACTACTGCACCCCAATATGCACATGCTAATGATCCTCTGCCTCGCGAAGTGACTCTGACAAGTCCTATTGCCGAAGTGGTACACGCCTCGGAATCCGCTGGCAAATTATTAGGACTTGGCCCATTCGGCACACATTACACCCAGCACTTCGAGATATTCCCGCTCGAGCTTGGTGTTTTCTTCCATGAGAGTACAGTTCTTGGGAGTGGCCGACTGGTCAAGGCGCTGGATGAAAAGTCCCGTGATAGCTTTCATCACCCAAGGGGCCGTGCTATATTCGTTCTCGGCGAGAAGACACTACGGTGGGGTCAGTGGGATGCTCAAACTTCATCAGAATTAGGCATTGTTTTGGACTGGATAGTGGAATATCTCCACTCGGAGTCTCCTGACATTAGTTGGGGTATAACTCCGGTACAAGCTGCAGACTTTGTACTGGAATATTTTCAGGACCACATAAGCTTCTCAGACGAAGAGAGCGAGAAACATTTTGCGGGTCGAGCTTTGGAAACACTGCAAACCTTTGTGCAACGCTTAGAGATTCTGCCGCTCCAATCTCAAGATCAGGCTCGGCCACTAATAGATGTGATGAGCCGTGGTCTGGTTATTTCATTTCAAACCTTGCGGATATGCCATAGTCTCAGCCAACTCTCAGAGACATTTCAGCTTGAAGATGTACTGGGCAAGATGGCCAAAAGGGCAGCTCGTGAATTACTTGCGAGAGAGCTGGCAGATATACGGAACTTGTACCATGATTTACAACGCATACCCTTGCGTGAAAGAGGTATTCGGAACGAGCAATATTCGGTGACCTGCTGGGTCATACTCATCCGAGTGCTCGAAGAGTCTCGTATTCCGAGGTCCGGGTTCTGGGATATTGTCTCTTCTGTCATCTCAAGTACGGATCTGAACTCCGTCAACGATGCGCACACTTTTGAGCGTATCTGGTACGATCTGTTCACTTTACTCCCTCTTGGTGAATTTGACAGTTCTGGGGTCGTTGTTCCGGGTACCAGGCATACTATCCCCTTAGAGGGTTGGGTCTTGCCGCAAAAACTACTCAGACGGGTCTTCCAGCTATATGAGAGTAATTCCCGACAAGCGCCTAGTTTCAATGATTATTGTCGAGGTGTGGTTGGTCGTTGCCACTATCTTGTGGAACAATGGGGATGGCGAAAGTCCAATGGCATAATAGGGACAATCTTTGATTTCTTTGCTGCTCGAGGTCTCTCTCATCTGAGGAATGAGGAAGTATACAAATCACCGGAATTCCTAGAGCATCTAGCAGCATCTCCGTCGCTTGCTATCGTACCGGAAGATCGATGCTTTCATATTTTTCTGAAGCTTCTTGCACTGTCTATCAAGCGGCTTGAAAATCACGGCTTAACGAAAGATGCTAGGAACATGCTGGCAAGAGTTCTACCAAATCACAATCGGCAATATGAGAAGGAGAAAGACATACATGAGAGTGAATTGGCTGCACTAAGAAATCATCATGATCTTCTTTGCACACTTTACTGGGCCGCGCCGCCAAGTTTACGGCCTTCTGTACAGACGATTGAAAAACTGATACTACCTGGTAGTTCTCACAAAGAAGCATGCTTGATCGGCTTACGAGCCTGGGGCCAACTATCACGATTCGTGATCTCTTCGGAAGAGGACACTTACGGATACAAACCGTTTGCTGATTGGCAGAAAAATATTTTTCAACATGCAATAGAACAATACTTGTCAGCCGAATCGGATATTCAACAGCAACTTCTGAATATGTCCAAAGACGTTTCGAGAAATATAAGTCGAGATATGGTCAACGCAGTTGTGAGGCTGAACAGGAAAGGCGCAATGGATGTAATACACTTCTCGATGAAGGGATTCTTGAGTGTCATTCGGCTCGCCCCGACGCTTGGTGCCGTTTCTTTTGCGTTGAATCATTGTATGTCAATACTTTGTATACTTGAATAACTTTTGCTGACATTCTCAAGATCAACTAGAACAGGTTTTTACCCGTTTTCCATTCACGTCAGCAGACTTCGACTGGAGTAGCTTGCGGGTTGCTCTGGATATCGTTGAATACTACGTTACTCGAGTCGAAGAGTTCTTCAGCCAGGGTTTGGTCTCAGCTGATCACTCATGGCATGGAGAAGATGCTATTATGGTAAATTCTTTCCCCTTGAATATCTGGTTTCTACTTATTAATACCTGCTTAGCTTGTTGAACGTAAAATAGCCACCCCTTTCGTCTCAATGATTCGTACTATTATTGGTATGGAGTTTAAAGACCTTGGGCTTGGTCCTACGAGTGATCGCTCTATATGCATGGAACAGGCTGTATTACTTTCTGGGCGGCTAGCAGCTCGGCTAACTCATGCCCGACTTTTGGTAGGCATATTTGATACAATGTATGCGTTACAAGCTAACATATATGTAGCGTGTTTCCCAATTTTTTACGTCCGGAAAGTACAGTTTATTCCAGACTACGCCGAAGGCTATTGATTCCCCCTCAAGAAAATATCACACTCTCTTCCTGGCCATGCTAATTGAGCAGGACGTGGATGATTTTAAGGTAGGGTTCCCCTGTACGTCGTAGTTAGGCTTCGCTAACTATGTTCAAGGATCTGGGCGGCTCGATTCTAGACCTCTTCCTAAAGGAACTCGTGAAACCTTGGAAATTTCTGGCCTACGAGAACCGCCTTGCTCTTGCAATCAAACGCCATGGCGATCCATATTTGAAGGATGCGGTCATAGAAGGTGGAAATAGCCCCGACTACAATTCAAATAGGGCATTATTTAGCCGTAAGTATTATTCTAACAGGTTATGAAATCTACTTCTAATGCCTAGCTAGATACCGTTGCCATGATGCGTAAGACGTTACGGTTTGTAGAAACAAACCAAAAACAGCAACTGCTATCGCAGTTCTCGAAGGCCCTGAAGAGTACGATGGATCAGATGAAGCTTGATCTAAAGTCGATCACGTTGGACTCGTCCGAGCACATGGATTATATCGAGTTTGTTCGGTCAATCGTCACAGTGATTAGATCACAGGACCTCTGCCCTGTGGACTCATATTTCTACCAGATCAGCCGGGAATATTCCCCTTCCAGCCAAGACCCTCGCCTGCAAATAGCAGGCATACTATCGTGGGGTCTCAAGCTAGAAGAAGGAGATAACAAGGCAACGCCCGGGCTCTTCTATCTCCTGTTCCCTAACTTTAAGCTAGCACTCGCCAATGGTAAACTCGGAAATGAAAGAGCCATCCTTCAACAGGGGATGGGTAATATCCACGTCTCTTCCTTCGTACTGAGCAAGATGCTCCCGGCAATCATAAAGACTGCATTTCAAGTCCCTACAGGGTGGATAATACTAGACACCTATGTTAGTGCATTCGAAGCTCTACTTACAGCACCCTGTATCTACAGAGAAATGGGCAGGGAGGACATGAGTGGACTTCTAGTCGTCTTGAAGATCGTCTTAGCCAGCATTGGAGAGCTCCGGACCCTTGATGCTACCGCATTACACGATGAGTATATTTACACACTTATTCAAACCATACATCTTCTCAATTTGCTCTCGCCGTCATTAACGGCATATCTGATCAATGAGCCAACTTCCGAGGTAGCAATCGATATCACAGAAGCAGTTGAGACATTTACAAAATTTACACGAGAAGCTGGAAATTACGTTTCCAACCTTCTCAATAACAGGAGTTGCGGAACATATTTAGACATACAGAGTCCAGTAACTATGGATTCAAATAGATTTTTTCAAGGTCTCCAAAGACAAGGGGTCGGTTTCTCAATAGAACCTGATGAACACATTACAAGGTTCGCAAATCACATGGTACGAGATATCAAGGAGAATTGGGTGTCGAACGGTTCGACTATTAGTGTTAGGGGGCCATCCAGAGCGCAGGGGCATACATCGACGCAGTCTGGACAGGGGACTCTGGTACCTAGGTGGGACTCGAGGATGCTGATGCAAGCTCTTAATAAAGAGCTTCGGGAGTGGAATTATGCTAATGATTTGGCGGCGGCGACTTCAAGACTCGCTGGATTGCCACTTGATGAATTTCTATTCTAACTAGTATAAATGAATCTAGCGTGACGTTAAGGGGATAATAACCTCGGACGTTATAGAAATGAAATTATTTGGATTGTTATAATAATGCTATGTCGTAGAAAAGAGAATAATAGGTATTATGTCGTATCAATAGGGGTTGGGTTAGGTTAGGTAATGGCACATGGATGTCTGACCTCAGTTATGATGTAGGTACAAGGTACATGTAGTTACATAGTATTAAAAGTACGTACTTCTATGGGGGCGCGACGCTTGGGCCACGGCAAATTCCGAAGTTTTCGACGTCAGCCAACATCGAATTTCTTATGTATTTCCCTTCTTACAATATCGCAAGCCATGCATTCGCCTGCTCACGCTGAGCGCCAATTCTCCGAATGCATACTCGGTCGCTACGTGCCTTTCGCTCAGCGGCACTTAGCTTACAGAAACCTCCATTAGCGACACATTCTGGTCGACTTTTTCACGCTTCTACCCCTGTCAGAGCTGCCGATGATGGCAATACCGGGCCCCGCGACGATGGAAGTAAGCCTGAGAAGGAGAACGGGGCTGGAGAGAACGACAATGGGGACGAAAACTTATTCGGAGATAATATTTCGACGACGGATGGGAAGAATCAGGGTCGAAAGAGGCCCGGAAATGGCTCCTTGAAGTCTCGCATCGTGCGCAATCGGAGACCTGAAGAGCTACCCCCTGTCCATGTGCCTAGGTCGTTTCTTTCCAAAGCTATTAGTCGTTCTGGAGATGCCGAGACGCATTCTGCACTTAGCAAGATTAGTGAGAAGGATGCACGTATTATGCTGGAGGATGCATTATTCCATTCGCCAAAGGAGCGAATGTTGGATGCGCATCTCGCTTATCTAGTCGAAGCTACGGCATGGACCGATGAGACGCTAGCTGAAGTTCGACAAATCCTAGGCTCTGATATAAATACGGATTTGATACAAAGAAAGGGGAATGTCTTGGTTGCTGCCGCTTTCTGGGCTGCGGTCATGTCGGCTCGGGCAACCTACGGAAAGAAGGCGGTCGATCAGTTGCATGAGCAGAATCCGGTTTCAAATTCGGGGGATCTACTCGCGGCTCTCACATACGGAAGACTATTCGCCGCGGGAGAGGAACTGCCACAGCTAAGCCATGCTAAGCAAATAATTGACAATGCGTTGAACGACTCTCCTCTGGAAGCGTCCATCGTCAGTTGGTTTGAGGAGGAACTGATCGAGGATATTATAGCCTCCGTCAACGCGGATCTGTTAATACAAGCCCCAGAGAATGTCAAGCTCGCAGATCTACGACGGCCTATTACAATCATCAATATACCTGAGAGCTTGGGGTATTTCGTACCCCACGACATCTTACGCCACGTTGCTACTGAGCTAGAGGCTGATGTCCTACACCTAAAGGCTTCCGATATTGCGTACATCGTTGGTAGTTACCTTGGCCAAGACGCTGTAAGAGCGCCCGGCGCGATATCACAACTGGGATATAAAGCTGCAGAGAATAGCGGAAGATTAAAACAAAATCGCTCCGCTGAGGAAGCGGACGAATTTGAGGATGCTAGGTTGCCTTTCCTCGTGCGTGATGATGGACGTAGGAAAGAGAGCAAGAATTACTTGGTACTAATGGACGAATACCTAAATGGATCAACCCGAAAAAAAGAGGACGATCTTTGGAAGGACCTCAAATTGAACGCGGTACTGGAAGAGCTTGTCCACTGTGCTGATTCCGAGCTTCCCGAGCAGAGATCGCTCATCGTTCACATTAATGACTATAACGCTATCACTATGGATACGGCATGCGGTGCCGTGATCATAGCCAAACTTCGAAAAATCGTCGATGCACTCTGGGCAGACGGTCGAAAAATCGTGTTAGTCGGGTCTTGTTCAACTAAGGGCGCGCCGAAGCCTTATATCAGCAACTTGAGAGAACTCGAAGCATTAGAACGCGTGATTACTCTCCGCCCAGCCACTGAAGAGTACATAGCGCGAAATGCATTGATGAGTGGAATTATGTCCGATACTACAAGCGTAAGGGTAAACAAAATCATATCTGGAGTTAGCAGTGCAATGGCAAGACGAATCATGTTTGAGAACAAGCGCCAATATCTGGAGGCGAGGGATTTCATAAGAGAAAATGAGGAGAATCTTGTGAGAATACTGTCGTCTATGATTGAGCCTCCCTCCGAATCCCTAATAGCGACAACCGGGAACATTAATTTGAGTCAAATAGACTACAGAAAGCTACCAGAGCCATGGTCGAAGAGCATTTTGCCTCTTAACGAGGTGTATCGCATCGCAACCATGATGATTGGTTACTCTAAGGACCTAAGCGATGTATTTAACATTGAATCCCTAGAACGAGTTGTCGACATAGTCAAAAGACATGAGAGGTTAAGAGACAGATATGCCAAGATCACAGCGGCAGGAGAAAAGAACCAGCGAAGAGAAGCGAAAGAGCTTACCGACGCACGCAAGCTCCTCTCTTCAGAAGAGGACCACGAAGAGAGGCTTGAGTCAGGTCTTGTGAATGCACAGGATATTCGCACTACATTTCAGGATGTCCACGCACCGAAGGAGACAATCGAGTCGGTTAAGATGCTAACTACGCTTTCTCTGATCCGACCTGAGGCTTTCTCTTATGGCGTCCTTGCTACGGATAGAATCCCGGGGTGTCTTTTATACGGACCTCCCGGTACGGGCAAGACGCTATTAGCGAAAGCCGTGGCTAAAGAGAGCGGGGCTAATATGATCGAGATCTCGGGTGCATCTATCAATAACAAATTCGTCGGCGAGAGCGAGAAGAACGTGCGGGCCTTGTTCCGGTTAGCTAAGAAGAAGGAGCCGCTAGTAATCTTCATCGATGAAGCGGATGCGCTTCTCGGCGCTCGAGGCAGACGTGACCTAGGTTCCCGCCGTGAGACGATCAACCAGTTCCTACGCGAGTGGGACGGGATGGACAAAACAAAGGCTTTCATCATGGTAGCGACGAACCGGCCATTCGACCTCGACGAAGCTGTGCTCCGGCGACTACCCCGCAAGCTACTAATCGATCTCCCGCTCGAGGCAGATCGCGCAGCAATCCTCCGAATCCACCTCAAAGACGAAGTCCTAGACGAGGAGTCCGTTTCCATCGAAAACATCGCCAAGCGCACGCCTCTATACTCTGGCTCGGACCTCAAGAACGTGTGCGTGGCAGCGGCCATGGCGGCGGTCAAAGAGGAGCTGGAGCTAGAGCAGCAGCAGCAGCAGCAGCAAGAAGGCAAACCCGAGGAGAGTAGCGACAGCATGAAGAGGCGCGTGCTCGCGGCCCGGCACTTCGACAAGGCGCTCCGGGAGATCGGGGCTAGCGTGTCGGAGGACATGGCGACGCTGACGGCGATCCGCAAGTTCGACGAGAAGTACGGGGATGGTGGGGCCGCGAAGCGTAGGCGGAAGGGTATGGGGTTTGGGGTGGGACCGGAGGCGGTGGATACGTTGGAGGCTAGGGTCAGGCGTGGGAGGTGAGGGGGGGTGGTTGGTTGATTGGCCACTACATACAGGTTGGGTTGTGTATAGGTAGGCTGTGGCTGGAGGTGAGGCTGGATGTCTGTATATTAGGTGATATACTAGCCTTACGATGCATCTAGTGTGTGTACTGGATTGATAATAGCCTGACTTTTGTCTTCCACCCCTATTCTTCCCCTTTTTGCAGTTCCAAGGTTCTGGCCATTCCCCCCCCTTCTGCCTCAGTTCATTTTATTTCTACTAACCTCTTCGTTGGTTCTAAGAGCTTGGAACATCGCTTGCCTATAGATTCCCCGTTCCATTGCCGGCGGTCCTCATCTTCCAGCCCACTGCTTATAGATTTCATGTCGTGTAACCCCAGATGCAACCTCGTCTCTTTATCTCATCCCTGCTTCCACCCTATTTTGCGTATGCCTTATAAGTTGGGCGACTTGGGGGCCGTAGACGGACCTATCAACTCACATCTCGAACCGCCGACATTTGCTTTTCAAAATGGCTTACACCCTATTTCTTCATGTACCTCCTTCATTGCGTCTTAAAGCAGAACTATGTCTCTTTAGTGTCGAAGAAAAATATATCGCTTCTCCCGTGTCTTAACAGACCTCCTTTTCTTCTAGCAAGCACACCATCTCTCTAATCAAATCCTCTTGTCGCTCTTCTAAACTTCTTGCTCCTTTAACAAAGCTACATCGCCAAGATGTCAGAGAACCTCCAACACTTTGACTTCAATGTTTCGTTGGGCGCCAACGAGCACACCTTCGACTTTAATGACTTGGTCAACACGCCTCTCATTGAACAAGACGAGCAGGAACCAGTTCTCGACTTCGACTTCTTCAATAACTGGGTCAATACGCCTCCCGTTGAACAAGACGAGCAGGAACCAGTTCTCGACTTCTTCAATAACTGGGTCAACACGCCTCCCATTGGACAAGAAGAGCAGGGATCAGTTCTCGACTTCCCCCCGCTATCTGATGCTACTGCAACTATCGTGGAACCGTAAGAGTTTTTTTTTAGCATCTGCTAATAATTAGGGTGAATGAATAGAGGAAAAATTGAGCTATCACTTGGTCATATGACTAACTACGCAATTGCAAATTCGAATAAAATGGTATCCGCTTAAACCGAAAACGATTTTATTAAATTTAAATAACCCTTTTTTAAAACGTTGACATTTTTGTTTTTATTTTTTAATTTTCGTTTTCTTTATGCTTGTTTTGTTATTAAAATTAACCATACTCGTTAATTAGCGACCGTTTTCCCGGCCGCAAACCTTAAAATAGCACCCGCCTGCTTATTATTCCATAACATCCGCCCGCTCGCTATTCTTGCGAGTGTTATAAAAAAAAATAGCGTAGCAAAACCGATTTTTCGAGAAGTAAAATTTTGAAGATGTTTTTAAATTGTTTAAAATTTTTATATTTAAATTTTTGAATAGGTTATTAAAAATAAGCGCCAAAAATAAAACCGAAAAATAGCGTATAATATATAAATAAAATAAATAGATAACTATTATTAATATTGAATAATCTATAGCCGCTAATTATTATAAATAAATTTTTTAATAAAGTTTATATAAAAAAAAAAATAA